GAACTCAATAAGCAAAGGGAAGGGGGTCTTTTGTTGTTGTTTTTTTTGCTTCACACTCCCTCCCCCCCCCCTTTCCCCTTTTCTTCTTTTTGCAGTTTAGCAATTTTGTTTTGCATCTTTTCCAGACGGCATTTTGCAATAAAAATGTCTGACTGCCACAGAGAGGCACAAAAGTCAAGGCTCCATCCATCTCCCAGGCTGCTGGGGGTTTGGGGTTTTTGGTCTGGGGGGGGGGAAGGAAGGGGATTGGGTTTTGTTTTTCGGAAGCAGTTGTTGTTGTGGGTGAACAATGGGGTTTTGTGGGTCCGATAGTTCAGCACACAGAATTTTGTTTCTAAAAACATGCCACCTGCAGTCTTTAAATTGTCATCCAAGGTGCAACCGTAAACTTTCTTTTCCATAATTGTTTTTATTTTCGCCTCCGATCAGGAAACACTATCTCAGCCTTAGTAAACTGAGCCTTAGGAGTGCTTTGTCCAATTGAACAGTGGGGAAAAACTAGCCCAAAATGAAGGTGTTTTTCACAGAAGCTCAGTGTAAACCAGGGCCGGATCTGGGAAGGACCCTGGGCCTGGCCCAGTTCCAAGGCTTGGAAAAAAAGGCTTCTGAGGGATTTTTTGAGCCCAAAATGAGAAGAAGTGGGATGTTCTTGCTTGTGTGTTCTGTTATGGACGTGGAAAGCACTGCACACTAAGAGCCATTTTTGTTTGGTAGGCTGTGTGTTGGGAAAGGGAGACATTGGGACAGGTACATGGTGGAAGAAACATATGGGGAGGCTCTTGAGGAGGGAGCAGATACTTTTTGCAGTGTTGATGTTATGACACATGGCAATCCCAAGGTGAGTGGTTTTGGTGTGAGTTTCATTCATCCCATGCCATGATGTAAAAAAGTATAACTCAAATGAAGGGTTTTCTCTCTATCCACAGTCCAGCTCTGCTGTTGTCTTCTACAGCTTCATCCTTCTGTCTTCTTGGTGAAGTTTCTTGGCCAAGAAGCCCAGGTTCACTGCAATCCCAGGGCAGAAGCACCATCCAAAGCAGTTCAGTCAGAGTTGGGCTCCATCCTTGGCTGCTGCCAGAGCAGAACCACCCCTGCCTGCGTGGGCAGGCTGCCAGAGCCTGCCTGCTCACTGCTGCCCAGACCTGGCTCACTGGAATGGTTCTGCTCTCATCCTTCATGGGCTTGTTTTCTCTTACCTTTGAAAAGGCTTTGCAGTTGTGCAGATTGAAAGGAAAACATCTGCCTTAAGGACAGGGGGATTTGTACTCTCACTCTGAATCATAGAACCATCCAGGTTGGAGGAGCCCCTTGGGATCAGCGAGTCCAACCACCATCCCTGCTCTACAAAGTTCTCTCTAAACCATATCCACCAGCAACACATCCAAATGATTTGGAGGCAGCTCTGTAGAAAAGCAGGGGGATTTATCTCTCAGGGTACTAACTGATAAATAGTTAGTCACTAACTCAGCATTCATGCACATTTTCTTTGGAGGCAGCTCTGCAGAAAAGCAGGAGGATTTATCTCTCAGGGTACTAACTGATAGTCACTAACTCAGCATTCATGCACATTTTCTTGCTTATTACACTGAAAATTAAATCACAGGGTTTCAAAATGCAACCTAGGTACCAGAAAGGCCCTGCCTGTGGGACAAGGGTGGCCATCTCTTCTTGCATTACAGACATTTGAAAATCCTTGAACTCCATAATGTTTTTATATCCATGAGCCACTTGTTTAAGGCTTGTTATGGGTAGAACCATGTAGCCATGTGCTTACTCCTTTAGTGAAGTGTTTGAGATACCTGTAGTAGACTTGGATGATGTAAGTCCCAGGTTCATGGAAGCAGCCTCCAGCACTGTCTTCTGCCTTTCCCTCAATCTGACCCTCACATCCTTCCTCCCCTGAAAAAGGGACCAGGCAGGCAGCAACAGCATTAAGTGTGGCTGTGGAAGAAGAGATGTTTGCCTGTTGTCAGTCTTCTCAGCTGGGAGAAGGCAGCCAGCTAGCTGGAAGCATCACATAAGTGTGGGCTCAGCTTCTGGCCCTCGATGGTGTGTCCTCTCTGGCTTTGAAGCCAGAAGCCATTGCTATGTGGGGCAGGAAGCCCACCAACTGCTGCCATTGAGAACAAGAGCCCCTCCACACCCCAAATTGCAGTGTTTCTTTTTGGTAGGTCTGTTTAAAAAACAACATCATACCCGTTTGCTCAATTTGCATGTCTGAAAGGCTTCTTTTCAGTTAATTGGTTAAATTAATTTCTGCTGTTGTAAAGGGAGGGCTGTATTAAGAGCAGACCTAAAGTGATTTTACTTTACATTAGTCCATGTCACGGCACATCATTTCTTTCTCACTCACGGCGATTCAATTTTGTGGGGCTGTCAAAGAATGTTTTGTGTCGTCTTCAGTCAGTGTAGCTTTTACAATTTTTGCTGATATTTTAGCAGTTTGTTTAGTCCTCTAGATAATGGTCAATGGCCTTGAGTAGTCAAATTAACACCTCGGCAGCACTAGATCTGAGCAGTAACCCGGGGATGAAAAGCCAGGAGAATCAATACAGTGAGCGCGTTTTTAGGGATTATTGATGGATTGATGCATTCTGGCCTTAGCTTGAAGAGGCAGCCTTGCCCCTCAGCTGACTAAGATGAAGTTGCCAGTTACTGAGGACTGCAGGCCATCACCTGCCTAGTGTTTCCCAAGCTGGGAGATTAGATGGAGATCTTTTGGAGTCCTCAGCTGAGGAAGCCAGGGCGTTGGCAGGGTCTGTGGTGCCCGCTCGGCTCTTCCCCGCCTCACCCCTGCCCCACCGTGAGAATTGGAGATGCTGTCGATTTGATGCAGTGTAATTCCTGTAGGGATCCATCTGGGACAAAGGAGGCACTAATGGCTTGTCCTCCGCCTCCAGCCTCAGAAGGTGGGAGCCATGTTAAGCTGTGCTGCTGTCAGCAAGCTGAGCGCTGTGGGTCTCCCTGCCACAACTCTCAATTGCTAGCAGGTTTCTCTCATTGCACCTCATTTGCATCTGGGACATCAATTAGCATGTTTGTTGAGGCTAATTGAATGAAACTCAATCATAGCTCTTAATTGCTTGACTATGTGAAAAGAAATCACATTAATGCAGCTAATTAAGTGTATGGCAATAGATGCAACATAATTAGGAGCGAAATGTAAAAAACAAGCGGTGGCGAAGGTGCAAGCGCAGCGGCGCGGGGGCTGGGCCTCTCTTCTCCCGTGATCCACACGTTTGGGGAGAGTTCCTTCTCCTTTGCCCCTTGCTTTCCTTGCCTTTCTTTTTCCCCCCTGCGCTACTGAATGATGAACGTGGACAAGTTGAGAAGAAAAATGCAAATGGGCTTGCAATTACTACTTTTTCAAGCTGTTGAGGGGCAGAAGATGGCACTTCTGGGGTGGCCCGCTGTTGAGTGGGCTCTAGGGACTTGTTAAGTGCTGTTTAAAAGTACTTGGCTTTGAATTACCCTCATGCCTTGTTAAAGGGTTTTTTCCCCTTTTTTCTCGGATCAGCATTTTCCACAACTAACATCTAGGGGAGTTATATCTGTAACATTTGCATATCAAAATCAGGCTTGCTGTCTTCTCTTTAGCACAGCATATTCCAGATGACAGCAAGACCCTCATCTGTTCTAATCTGATCAAACCCTCCATTGCGCTTCTGAAGCCACGACGTTGTTTCGTAGCCTTGACTTTTATTCCCCGAACGCGGATCTGAAGGAGCGTGGGGGCAGGTGCTCCAGAGACTGCAAACTTGGTGCTGGCCTCTCCTCCTCAGGGAGACACGGAGATTATCACTGTGCATCTCGCACACAATGAAGGAGGCTTTATTATTTACATTTGATATATCCCTATAAATATTTAAGCTGACTTTAATACCTACGTGGCATCTGTCGCGTTTAGGCGCTTCCGTGTAACAGCAGCCCGGCTGCAGTGCATGTGTTTCCTGTTTGCCAACATCCACTTGCTCTCTCACACGGTTTGTAGCTCACCTAAGCCTGGTTTACTCTCAATTCATGGGGCTTTCATCGTGCCCCATGACTTGTGACAGGGTAGCAGGGAAGTGGTATGTGCTATTCATCCAAAGAATTTGGAATAAACACTTCCGTCTTCAATGTAAAGGAAGTACACTGGTTATTGTATGTTAAATAAAACGTGTCTGTTACAAAGAGGACATGCTGAGGTTTAGTCACCATCTGATTAAGCCTCATTTTGGAGCCCATAAGCAATATATGCTCAATTATGTTCTGCTTATTGTATTTTAATTTGTGAAGTACTGACACTGAACAAGAAAGTTTATGCCAACTTGATAATTTATGGATGAAAGTGTTCTGCTCATTTCTAACATCTAGTGCCTGAAATGTATTCCCAGATTGCCTTTGTTTCTTTTGGCAGCACAGCTCTGTGTCCTTACCCCTCGAGTTGTTCAGGGCCCCCCCTTGTTACTGTTAATCATTCTCAAACAGCTGGGGGGGAAGATGGTGTGATGGCTTCGTTTGGGGGTTTTATCACAGATTAATGTTAGCTGTGAAGAAACAAATGCTGGCCTAGCAGAAGATTTTTATGTGTTTTGAGCAGAACATATAATGTGTATTGTAAAAACTGCCAAAGGTGGGAGAACGTTTGTAGGAGAGCTGATTGCTCTCCATGTTGTGGCAGCAGAGGTGCAGACCTTGGGATGCCTTTAGTCCATTTGGGTAAAAGTGACGTTCTGGTGGTGTACAGGTCTGTGTGCTGCAGGTCTGGAACTGACCTAGGTCAGTGTTGGTAGTCTTCACCTTGCCCTCATCACTTACTGGAAAGCTCCACACTACCAGGGCTATTTGTAGTCAAAAGTGTTGAAGGGATTATCAAGAAAATGGAAGGGGAAGAACATGGTGAGTGCAGGTGGATGATGTAGGGCAAAAGTCTTGGGAAACCAGGTTTTGTTACTTTTATTGCTTACAGAGCCACCTGTTTGATATTGGGATTGGGTTTTTTTCTTTCCTCTTACCAGGACTATATGCAGAACGTCCACGGGAAAGAAATTGACTTGCTGAGAACCACTGTGAAAGTCCCTGGGAAGAGGCCACCCCGAGCAACGTCAGCTTGTGCACCCATCTCCAGCCCCAAAACCAACGGCCTCTCCAAGGACATGAGCAGTTTACACATCTCGCCCAATTCAGGTAAGAATGCCACGCTGAGGACAAAAGGGAAAGGCTGCATTTCAGTCTCTGTAGGCAGCTGTCATGTACTCCTGGGATGGTGTCTGTTAGTAATTTACAAATCCAAATAACCCCTGATGTGTGACTGTTTTACAAGCCCTGACTGCTGGTCTCCTCCACAAGAGATTCTGAGTAGCCTTTCATATCCATCTTTTTCTATTGGTTACCTTGTACTTGCCAAAACCCTACCTAAATTCATCAAATAACATGTGAAGGATTGGTGCTGCCTTATGCCTGATCTGTTAGGGCTAGAACTTGGGAAAAACAGGAGCTATATCATTTGAAAGGGCTTTTTGTGCCTTCCTGATGGGACTCAAAGCACTTCTTTCCACCTTTAGAAGGATGTGTAAATTTGGGCTTTCCAACAGCAAGATGCTTCTGCAGAAAGCTATTTTAGTTCGTTTATGGAAGCAGTTTATAGCTTCTTGTGAGCTCTAAACAAAGGAGTTTATTGTTTGCTGAAGCACTTGTCCATGCAGCTAAGTGGATTTTAAAAATTGCATTAAGGAAAGACATTTAAGGCAACTTGTAAAACACATACAGAGCTCATAATGGTGAAGTGGTGGTGTGGAAGTTCTGTCAGCATGTTTGGGATGAGGTCCATAAAGTGCCGAGCGCCTTTTGCATTCATGATGAATATGGACACCTCCAGCATCTGTGTCAACAAAACACCCCAACCTGTTCTCTTCCTGTCAATATACACTAGACAGGTAGGATGAGCAGCAGCAGGAGGGAGCTTGGTCACCCTGCTGGTCAAGCCTTCTCTTGGGTAGTCATGGCTATCATATGCCTCAAGTCAAGCTGTGATTCCCTTATATTAGGGGAAGAGGGAGAGGGATTTTCTTTCCAACTGCAGATGCTGCTTGTTGAGATGAGTGTTTAAAAAAAGGGGTAAAAAAAAAAAAAAAGTTGGTTTTATTGAGCAGACATCCCTGCAGGTCTTGCATGGAATGTTTGTATTAGTTCAGCCTGGGACATGAAATGTCTGAAGCCATGATTACAGCAGACTCTTTGTCAAGTTGTAACCTACCCCTCAAGAGGCTCAGAGCTGGCACTGCCACTGGGAGAGTTCACAGGAGAAAATTATTTGTGGTTGGTTTATTCTTCCCATTTTGGTGTTGAATTTAGAGGGCTGGGTGCAGGGAGTGGTTTTGTTTTCCAACATATTCCGTAATGTAGGGAAGAAAAGTACTGGAGTGAGTCACTAAACCAGCAGTAAGATGTTTGAACACAGGTAAAAATTACTTCATAACTCCAGAAAAGTACATTTCTGAAAACACAATCAGGGATAATACTAGTAGGAAGATTATAGCATGGAATTTAGATGTTTTGGCATATGCTTAGGTCAGAGGGAAACAGCTTGTACATGACTTAAATTAATATTGCACAGTTAATTTTGTTACAGAACTCTCTGCACTTGTGATGCTTTCTTTACATGAAACTGTGCACTAGGCAGCTTGCTCTGGCAGGGATGGAAGCCATGGAGAAGGTATCCTGGCTAGCCAGAAGTTATATCACACAGCAGTTGGTTTAAAAGAGACAAGTTAATTATGATAGAAAGTGCAAACGCTGGGAAAAAGCTCTGCCTTTGGATGGTGTTTTTTGAGTAATGTGGTGGGAACAGTTGGAGCTTCTGTCCTCTCTTGACGTCTTTATCGTGTTGCTTAGAAATACCAAAAGACTTTTCTGTTGATTTCTGGTTATAGTAGTTCAAGAGATCTACTGTGGTTAAGTCTTAAAATAATTAATGTCCTCCTAATGTAAAAAGGAGTTGTATCCAAGGGAGGTGGAGCCTGGTTCCTCTGTCATCCCCCACCTGAATACCTTCATTTCCCCCCTCACACAGCTGGGACACTACGCCAATCCTTCTGTAATTTTAAGCAAGTTCTTGACCTGCTTATCTTTGTGTGATGCTTTTCCCATAGATAACACAAGGATTGATGTCTTAATTGTCTTAATTGTATTATCCCTGCAGCTGGCTGGAAGCATAGCAGTTTGGAAGCATCTTTGTAACTTGCTGGTGGGAGCAGGTGAAGACAGACTAGACTGAATAGCTTTATTCCCTCCATGGCAGCTGGCCAGCCTGTTCCTACCTAACTCCCTGCTGTCTCCTGCCCACTTGGGGTGTATGGAAGGTGGATGTCCAGGATTCTGGGGGAGAGAAGTGTCAGTGAAGATGCAAAAAGCTCTGTGAGGTTGTGTTTCAGTTCAGCTCATACACAGCAGTTTCAGACCTGCTGCAGTATTGTCCCTCACAGCCATTGCTTCTGGTACATTCAGTGCATTATCAATCATCACACCCCTTCTTTGGTTTTTGGGTTTTTTTCTCAAATTTTCTTTCTTCTGAACAAGCTGCCTTCTTTGAATCTTTCTTACTTAAAGGCCATGTTTGAGGTCTGTCTGGTTATTGCATTACTGGACAGAACAACCAGCAGCAGGACAGAGGAGCTGCTTTAGGAAGCTGATTGATCGAAACAGCAGTTACTCAATTAAAAACAAAAACCTGCAAATCAGTAAAGTATCATTTTAAAAAAAAAAAAAAAGGTAGGACAGGCCAGATCTGAAAAATAACTGTCAGCAGCTCGGTTGTGTGTCAGTCTGTATGTCACCCTCAATACTCTTAATGTGCAGGTAAGAGTGAGGAGCTGCAGAGTGATTTTAAAATATTAGGGTATTATTAGTTTTGTAAAAAAGCCCCTGTCACAAGCTGTTCCTGGCCTGTTAGTCTGAACTTTCCTGTGCTCAGGTATATTGACAGTGCTGGCTGTGGTCACAGCTGCTGTTGGGTGGGAGACCCATGGGTGCTCAGCACACGGCTTCTGGAGCATAGGGAGGACTTTTCCTACCCCTGCAGCTGCCTACCATGCGACTGCACACATTTGCAAATTATCCCTTTGAGGCTGTGGTGCTGTCTCTGAGCTTTTTCTCAATTGTTAGTGCTGGCAAAATGTTGTCTGCTTGAGTGATGCTTTAAAATCGATCACAGGGCTGAACTGTCTGTTAGGGTTTTCTTGTTGTTTCTCCTCCTCACAGGGGAGGTTTGGACCAAGCACAGAAAGAATCAGCACTTGCTATTTTTAATTTTTAGGTACGTAATTACACTGCATTCTTGCTGCTTGGTGTGTTACCTCTGCCCCAAAACAGCAAGGTTTCCTGTTCTGCTTTTTGCCAGTGCAGACTTGGTACCTGGATATTCTGTGCTTGGATATCAGGACAGTATTTTTTCACTGTTGGATTTGGTCAGGAGTGGACTAATTTTTCTTCTGCTGTCATTTAATTGCATACAGCTTAGTGGAAAGGCTAATATATGAAAAGAAAACCACTGTTCAATTAAAGTGTCGCATTTCAGATTGCCTCTGGAAACAGAATTCATCATCTTTGCTTATACATGGAGAAAGCACAGGCCCACTAAAAACTTTTCTTAGCTGAGCTTTCCTCTTACCAGTAACTTGGGTTCCTAGAAATGGCTGAACTTACTTTCATTCAGACATCAACAGGAAAAAATTGAGAGCGTTTTTGCACTCCAAAGTTGGTTCAACTTCTAATCCCCACCACAGTGTGTGAGGAAATAGAGCACCATGAGCTCTTCCTTCTCATCACCTGGACCTAAGTGATCATCTGCATCAAATGTGTTCAGTCTCTTTCTCCCACTTGTTTAAGCCCACTGAAGATCCTTCCCAAGGTGCTTCCCTATGAGGAGACTAGAAGGAGTTAGGCTAATGAGGAAGAGGACATCCTGAATTCAAAAGGAGTATACTCAGTTATTTGTTGATATGATTTATAACAGCCACACAGTAAGGGAAAGTTTTATCCAATAGATCTAATTGATGTAGACATCACATGCAGAAACTAATGTTTAAAAATACATCATTCTCAGCACGTTGTGTTTAGTTGTGCTGTTGTGGCACTCCCTTGTCTGAACAAGATTGTTTTTCTGGTTTAAAAGACTGCTTGATATACAGCCATACAATAACCATCTTAGTGACAGCTATCCTGATCTGTGAGTGTTTACATCCCAAACATCTGGAAGCAGAAACCTCTGGGAAATATGAGGGGAAAAAAGCCAACGTGACTCTTTCCTGCAGGGTTTCCAAATGTGCACAAGAGCTGGGAGAAAAGCTTTTCCTTTGACGTGGGGAGTCACAGTAGAACAGGAACCAAATTAGGAGTGAGAAGAACAGTGGGAAAAAGCAGTGTTTTCTGACAAATAAGGAGAAGGTAAAGCTGCTTCTACTCTTTTAAGTCTAGACACCTTGCCTGGGAAAGGGTTGAAATTTCTCCTTCTGGAAGTGTTACCATAATGCCTTAAAGGTGAAAGCTGGTCCCTGGACTTTCTTGGGTTCTTGGAGGTGCAGTTTGGACTGAGATTCTGTGTGGCTGCTTCTCCTGGGCAATGCAAAGGTGTAGTGGGTTGTTTTGGTTTTGTTATCTGAAGGCTTGAATAACAGATTTTTAATGGTGCCTTTATGAAGGGGGCTTGTACTTGTGTGCTAACTTGGTAGCAATCTTGGAGTTGGGGAAATGGAAGTCTCTTCAATCTGAAGTTACTTTTGTGGTATCTTAAAGTTGCTAAATGATGCTTAAGTAGCTTAAATTGAATTCTCATGGCAGCAAACATGAGTCTGTTGATACTCCTCAGTGGGAAGTACTTCAGAACAGAGGAGCTTATGGCCTTGCTCAGTTCCAACTTTATCTAAGAAGCAGGAGGTGAATGTTGCAGCAACGTCCTAAGGGCCCTGCTACATCAGCCATTGGCCCAGTCTCTCTGCCTTTTAGAAGCTGACTAAGTCCTTGCTGACTTTGGAGCAAGTGTGAGTCCAGGGCTCAGTTACTCTTCGGTTGGAGTTGAGCTGGTGACCTGAAGGTAAACTTACTCCACAGTTCTCTCCCAGGAGTCATTTATTTCTTCTCCTCTACAAACAACCCAAAGCCTGAGTTGGAGCAAGAGCCACTGATGTAGA